CACAAGAGGCATGGGGCTTATGCCTGTGTAGTTAGGGCAATGCAGCGTAGACACTGCATTACTTACATCTGTTGGCTATCATTCTTATCAAGCTGGAGTCGTGAAATTGACCAAAAAGCCGACTCCCAGCTTTGCTGCTCCACTCCAAGCTGGGCTGCCACCCAGGCTCCTGGCTCAGGCTCCCTCCTCCCGGTTGGGCTGCCACCTGGGCTGTCAGTTCCCTGCTCCCCACCGGGACTAGGCAACTGACTAGGCTCTGGGTGCGGATCTCCCTGCCAGGAGCCCGGCTGCTCCCCTGACTCTTGGCTCCCTGCTCCCCACTGGGAGCACAGCTGTGCTTGGGTGGGAGCTCCGTTTCCGGAGTCCAGTTGGCTGCCCCATTCCCAGTGGGGAGCCAAGGTGTGTGTGGGGAGGTAAGTCAGGCTCCTGGTGGGGAGCTGCATGCAGAGCTGAAAGTCCTGGCTCTCAGCACCCCACACTGCCCCTCTTAAATTGATGGGAGTGCTCCTGGTGAGGATGCGCAACACTGACAGAAAAAGGGTAGTGTGGACATGAACCACTATAGTAAGTTGACCTAACATAGGACCACTTAAATGTATAGTGTAGACGTACCCTGAGGGTATGTCTATACAGGGATAAAAAACCCATGACTGGTCCTCCGAGAATTGTGGGTCCCAGAGCTCAGGCTCCAGCCTGAGCCCAAATGGTCTACGCAGCAATTTTGAGCCCCGCAGCCCGAGTCCCATGAACCCAAGTCAGCTGACCTAGGACAGCCGCAGCTGTGCTGTGGGTTATTTATCCCTGTGTAGACATACTCTGAGTCTGATTAGGCTCATCTAGAGCCAAAGAGAGAGAAACCACTGCAGCTTGCATGGCCTTTCCTTCCCTCTTCCTGTTTATGTAACCCAGCCCTAGGTTGGGGCAGAGCCTCCTTGATTACACCCCAGGCTCTGCTTAGCTGTAGGCTCCACCCTGTCCCTTAAAGGAGTAGTGCATATCTTCACAAGGGGAAATAGATGGGGAGCAGCCAAGTGACTTGCTCAAGATTACACAACAGGTTAGCGTCCGAGCTGGATATAGAACCCATTTCTCTTGACTCCTGGATCAGTGCCCTATCCTTTAGATCACACTGCCTCTCTTGCTATTCTAAGGGAGATAATACTTGGAAAATTGGGTTGGGGTATGTGTGTTGCAGAGGGAAGTTTTGTTTTGAAGGCAGTGATATCTTGTGTTCTGGAAGTGAGTTCCATGTTTGTGGGCCAGCTACCTTGAAAGTTCTGTCTTCAACCATTACTGGTTTTACTCTTGTGAGTTAATGTTTCATTGGTCTAGTAAGCATAACTGCTGAAAACAACCTCAATTTCCATGAACATGAATGTTTGTTGAAGGTTGGGGTCTTATGGAAGACTTTTAAGAGCAGAGCTGGAACACAATATGTGCTGTTCAACAATTAGTCTGATATAATTTCAGATTCCTGCTAAGTAGGTGGATGCTCTCTTTGGTATCAGCTAGAGTCTTTTTAAGTTCAGTGATTTAAACACAACATACCTAAGGATGCAGTAGTCAAGTTGAGGTAACAAACAGCTGGGTGGGAATGGTTTTGTCATCATGCAAAAATGTTTGAAATGTCAAAATTTTCCTGTTCTGCATTGGGATGAAGGTTTCACTTTTTGACATTTTTGTTATGAAAAACCAAAGAGAGGCTCCCCCACCCCCTTTCCCTTCTATGGAATAACAGCCTAATAGTGATTAGGGCACTCAAGTGGGATGTGGGAAACCCAGGCTCAAGTCCTTGCTCTGACTGATTCAGAGGGACTTGAATCAGGGTTTCCCATATACAACGTAAGTGCCTTAACCACTGGGCTGTTGGCTATTCTGGAGGCCCAGGGGTGGAGTTGCAGGGGTCTTGTTTTGACCAGAAATTCAATCCTGGACCTGAGAGAACTTATTTACTGAAGTTTTTCAAAACTGATCAGTTTCTGTGAAAAGTTTTGGTGACTATGCATTTTTGACAAAAATTTCACAACCAGCTTTCATTATAGATCACCATGGTCATATCAGAGTGTGACAGGATGGAGCAGTGTCCTAGCGAGGAGTAAAAGACCTTTTTTTTTTGTTTTTTTTTTTTTTTTTTTTGCATCCATAGCTATTAGTGTATCCAACAATACTGAGGACTCTAAGAGGGCTATGAACAGACTTGAAGTAGACACTTTATTTATAACCTTACATATCGGTCCTGAATGAAGTTAGATTGGGGTTTTCTTTCTTATGAAAGCCTTTTATAAAAGTTAAACAATATTAAATGTTGCACATACTATCTAATCTAGTTAACATTCTAGCTTAATAGATTCATAGATTTTAAGTCTAGATGGGGCCATTATGATCTAATCCAGTGGTTCCCAAACTAGGGGCACTGCTTGTTCAGGGAAAGCCCCTGGCAGGCCAGGCCAGTTTGTTTACCTCGGCCTGTGCCGCTTCCCTCAGTCCCAATTGGCCGAGAATGGCGAACCGCAGCCACTAGGAGCTGTGAGCAACCAAACCTGTGGACGCGACAGGTAAACAAACCAGCCCTGCCCGCCAGGGGCTTTCCCTGAACAAGTGGTGCCCCTAGTTTGGGAACCACTGATCTAATCTATTTGTCTTAATGCAGGCCAAAGAACCATGCTCGATAATGTTTGCATCTGGCCCATAACTTCTGTTTGAACAATAGCATATCTTTTAAAGAGATTTCCAGTCTTGATTTAAAGATGTAAAGGGACAGAGTATTCACAACATCAGTGGTTAATTATTCTCACTGTGTACCTTAAAATGTGTGCCTTATTTCTAATCTGAATTTGTCTACTTCAGTTTCCAAACACTGGATCTCGTTGTGCTTTTTTAAATGTTAACTGTATCTCATAAAATAAATAGGAAGTGTTAACACAACCAAAGTAATGCTTCTTTAAGAACTTTATATTTTGTTTCCTGACGCTAATGTTTTGCTCTTAATGTTGCATTAATGGGCACTGTTGTAAGGTGAATATTTTTACTTTATAGAAAAACTGGGTTCCTTCATTCTTCTAGAAACCACACCTTCCTGTTATCTTGTTAGTGAACAACGTTGCATTCCATTTATATTTTAAAAATAGTTTGCGATTTCTCATTCTTTCTTTATCCCACCACCAGCAGGTATAGACAATAAGCATTATCCTCTTTGATTGACCCTTTCCAGACCTGCGTGTGTAGCCATTAGTCCTAAGGTGATCTGCAAAGGGGGAGTGGGGACAAATTGTGTGTTTGTGGTTTTTTTTTGCTTTTTCATGAAGTATAAGGTCTAAAACTATTTTAAAAGGTTTGTTCCTGTTTGTTTGTTTTTTCCCTTCGATCGTCTGTAGAATTCTAGAGGAGACAAGAGAATGATTTTAACATTACCATGTAAACTGCCTTTCTGTAAAGGAGCTCACCAGACTAGAATCTGAGCTGCTGCTCCTTTTTGCACTGTTTCAGAATAAAGAATGAGCAAAGTCGCTAGGGCAGAGGTGGGAAAACTACAGCCCGCGGGACCGTCCTGCCCGGTCCTTGAGCTCCTGGCCCCTCCCCGCAGCCATGCCGGCAGTGTGGCTTACGCCCACCAACCTCCCAGGCTTTCCAATAAGTCTGTCCTACCGCTCTGAGCGGCATGGTAAGGGGGTGGGGCATAGGGGGAGGGGAGGTTGGATAAGGGGCAGGAAGTCCTGGGAGGCAGTCGGGGACAGGGAGCGGTTGAATGGGGCGGAGGTTCGGGGAGGGGAGAGGAGGCGGTCAGGAGACAGGGAGCAGGGGGCGTTGGATGCGGGGCAGGGCTGGGGACAAGGATCGAGGGGGTTGGATGGGTTGGGGGGTTTGAAGGGGGTAGTCGGGGAGCGGGAAGTAGGAAGGGGCAGATAGGGGGTGGGGGCCAGGCTGTTTGGGGAGGCACAGCCTTCCCTACCCGGTCCTCCATACCGTTTTGCAACCCTGATGTGGCCCTCAGGCCAAAAAAGTTTGCCCACCCCTGCGCTAGGACTTAGGGTATTGGGCAATTGAAACCGGTTATTGTGACAGTCTTGAGGGGACCTTCCAGAGAGTCCAGCTTGAGAACTGGGGCCTTTTGGGACAGCCTAGTGGAAATGCTAACACTGCCAGTGCTGAGAACAGGGTTGAGAACATGACTGTAGATCTAAAATTATGCTAGAGAAGTCCCCAGCCTTGCCTTAGGAGCTCTTGCGAAGTTCCTAATTAATAGTTTAGTATGTGGAGTTTGAGATGTGGTGTTTACATGTATTCTGCTTCTGGTGTGCCTGTGCCCCATGTGCTGGAGATTGGCTCTGATTGTAGGGGGTTGTAAGTAACAATTCTGATTCCATAGTTAAGGCTGTTAGAAAAAAATCTGGCCTAAGCCCTACTTGTAACACTTTACTATTCACACAGTGTATTAAGGTTGTTATAAAAAAAACATATTTTGGCATGGAAATTCAAATGCTTTGCATCATTCCACAGATGCATTTTTTTTAAGCTTGAAGCAAATCAGCTAAGTAACTTCAGAGGTATAAAGTTCTGAAAAATTACCAAATTTTCTATTTTCGGGGGGGCAGGAAGGTCATTTTTGGTGCATTGTGATACAGCTACTTTATATGTTCTTAGTGCTAAATGAGAGCTCATGTAGAGGATAGATTTGAAAAATATTTTTTCAAAAATAAGTTACTCAGAAGTTAATTGTGATTTGGTTGGTTACACATCAGCATTTTAAACAGCATCTGTCAACCTGTGGAGGACTGGTATTGGTTACTGTAGAGGTTAGTCGTCATAAATGCAGTGTAATACAGAGATTGATGGAAATTGAAGAAAACAGACTTTGTGAGCAGATTGTAATCTGTAGCACTCGATAACACAGATTATCACAAGTGTACAAGAATATTGCATTTTCATATGTCTGGGGAAGACTCAGCTTCCCAGTTTTTCTAGGGTTTTGACTCCACAAATTATTTCTGTTTACCTTCTAGGAGAAAAACTACCTGAATACTTCTTCTCTAGTTCTTGTGGAGGGGTGAAAAGTGTCCTCTTGGCTACCCGACTCAATGGGAAGGAAGAATTTTTTAATTCCACCCAGCCAGACCACTAGGTGAGTTGAGGAGTGCCTTGTGGCAATCTTCCATGTTTCTCATGAGAGAACTCCCAGCTCACACCTTCAATTCCTTCAGATGAGATTTTCAACAAAATGGGATGATAGTGCTATGGATGTCCTAATGGTTGTGAAATTCCTTCTCAGTGGGTCATTCATCCTGTCATTGTTTATCCCATATGCACCCTGGTGAGGCTGTTCTCTGCAAAGCTTATGGAAAATATCCTTGATGTCTTATCTGAAGCACATTAAAGCACTTTATCCGTCCAGCTTGGTTTCTTTGCAGTCGCTACTGCTCATTCTTATAGGGTTCTTAAGTAACGTATGATTAAGGCTACGTTTTGGTCACGGGTATTTTTAGTAAAAGTCATGGACAGGTCACGGGCTGTAAACAAAAATTCACGGGCCCATGACCTGTCCATGACTTTTACTAAAAATACCTGCCCTGACTAAAACTTGTGCAGGGGGCCGTGCAGTGATGAGCTGCCAGAAGCTGAAGAACTGGTTCCTTCAGTTGCTCTGAGCCTTCGGCAGCACTTGAGTGGCACGACCTTCAGTTGCTCCGGGTCTTCGGCAGCACTGAAGGACCTGCCGTGGAAGGCTCGGAGTGCCACCGGATGAGTAAATATTCACAGGGGATCCTCGCCAGCCAAGAGCTCAGGCAGGATGGATAGGACGGTCCCGCAAGCCGCATGTGACCCTCGGGCCAGAGTTTGCCCACCCCTTTAACAGCCGGTTCTAAACCGGCTTCTAAATTTAACAACCGGTTTGCGTGAACCATTGAGAACCGGCTCCAGCTCATCACTGGGGCCGTGGGTGCCCTGCGGGGGTAACCAGGGGTGCTGGGGAGGTGGCCTGGGACCACCACTGGTACTGGGGGAGAGGAGGGCTGGGCTGTGGTGTGTGGCCTAGGACCCTGCTGGTGCTGGGGGAAAGGGGGTTGGTGGGACTGTCAGGGGCTTCCTACCCGGCTCTTGTGTCCCTGCAGCTCCTAGGTGGCGGAGGCAGGGGCCAGGGCAGGGGCTCCACTGCTCCCGCCACAAGTGCTGGCTGCCGCAGCTCCCATTGGCCGGGAACCGCAGCCAATGGGAGCTGTGGAGGCGGGGTCTGTGGGTGTGAGCAGTGCGTGGTGCGGAGCCCCGCTCCGCCGCCTAGGAGCTGCTTGGGAGCCAGGGAGCCCACCCACCCCGAGGTAAGCACCCCCTTACACTCCCCAACTCCCTGCCCCTATCCCTGAGCCCCCACCCACACAACCAAACTGCTGGTGCAGGGGCTGCCCAAGCCGGGCAGCAGCTGAGCCAGCACTAGCCATTACGAAAGTCACAGACTCGCAGGCTTACGTATGATTAAACCTGCCAAAACAAAAATTTGAAAATTAGTAGTTGTTTTTAAAATCTGCACAATGAAAATACCTGAAACTTCTACTTCTTGCTGTGTTTAAAAAATGTTACAAGGTGGATGGCAAGATCTACAGATCTCCTAAACTCACTGGCACAGTTGGGAGTGCAAGTTTTTGAAGTGGTTCAGTGGGCTATTTTTAAAAATACATAATTCAAAGAAGACAGTAATTAAATAGTTTTTATTCTTAAAAATGAGTCATAATTTGTCTAAAATAAGTGGAAACTTTCTTTAAATGCATTTAAAGAAAGTTTGTAACATTTAAATATGTGCACTGAAAAAAGAAACCCCCTCAAAGCTGCACCCAAGATTTTAATAATGCTGTGTACTCATCCTTTCAGATCCTTCAGGACTAATATACATTGCTGAATTTATTTCAATCTTCTAGTCTTTGCTTTTCAAGACTTAAGTAGATGTTCTGCTGATGTATTTTAAATCAATTTCTGTATTGACCCATTCACTTCTCCCACATGTTTGTTGTTCCCATCTCACTATCACTTTCAAATCTCCCTGAAGGACTGCTTCCTTTATCCTGGGGCTTCTAGAAAAAATGGGAGAGAAACTTTGAAGAACTGATCAAATAATAAGTTGTATAACAGAAAAGTTCTTTAAATAATTGTCGTTTCCCCCCGTCTTTTCATGCGAAAGCTTAGTCTGCCACCCAGTGGAAGTACTTGGAAGGAGACTCTTAGAAGATGATAATAATAATAAAATCTCCATAATTCTTACCTTCATAGTTTTCAGAGAGAATGTATTCATTCTTTAGCTATCTTTCCCTCTTCAGTGTGGCTCAAAGCCTCAGGGTTCCCCCCAGAACTCTTTCCTATAACTTTTTTTTTGGGTCGGGAGGTGTCTTCTAGTTTTAATTTGCTTCCATATGTTTCATTAATCACAATGATTTGTAATCTCCTAATACTTTACACATCCATATTCTGATATTATATCAAAAAGTACTTTCCTGCCACCTCACTTTATTTATACAGTAGAGAGCCTTTATGCATTGTATTATTTGTGTTACAATTTCAGTACCACAATGTACCTTGACCTTCTGTATGTCAAGGACATTGGGAGTTAGAATTCTGAGACATTACCAGAAAAAAAGAAAAGAGAAACAACATACAATGTAACCAACAATTTCTCAAATAGTGAGATTCCCTCTGATTCAAAATGGTGTTTCATGTTGACCATGAATCTGTTTTTCAGGATTTAAATTTGTATATCAATATTGAGATGCTAAATTGAATATGCAATTTTATCCCGAGTAATAGAACATGTGCCCCATGCCTTCAAGGTATAGATCATTAAACATGATAGAATTGTGTGACTCTCATGAGTCTGTTACCCTGTTGAATTTTGTTTTACTTTTTTGTACTTTTCAGAGTTGCCTGTAAATACTGTATTCTCTTTTGTTCAAAGTATTTTAATAATTTTTTATAGGAAGTGTGGGGGCATGAATTAGTAAGACTTGATAAATCCACTTACCTAATAACAGTGAAAAATACATTTTCCCTGTTTAGGAGGTAGTATGGCCTACTTGATAAAGCATTGGCGTAGGACTTGGGACACCTGGGTGCTGTTCCTCGCTTTGCCATTGGCCTGCTGGGTGACCTTGGGCAGGTCACATCCCCTGTCTGTAAAATGGGGGTAATGGTACTGACTTCCTTGTAAAACACTTTGAAATCTACTGTTGAAAATCTCTATATAAGAGCTAGATATTAGGGAGCTTGTTTACCAATTTCTGCAAAATTGAACTTTTTATTTAATGATCGCCAGTTTCTAGCCTTTTTAGTTTGGAGGAAACCCTTCCAAATGTAGCATTGCAGTATTGTCTAAACTGCAACCAGGGTATAATTTGCAGATCATGTATACTTATCTATGGTATCTTTAATCTAGCTAGCTCGGTAAAGAAAAGCACTGAGGACGTGGTCACATGGGTTTCAATGTGATCTAGCAATGTAAGTATGTATCTACAGGGCTGCCTCCTATGTTGCCATGTCCTTACTGCTATTTTGAGCAAGCTAGCTAGATTAAAGCTAGTGCGGATATGTCCACATGAACTACATATAACATCCCAGGTTGCAGTGTAGATGTAGCCTTAGTTGGCTGACAGAATCTTTGCCTACCTTAGGATATTTACCTGTTGCAGTCAGTGGGTGTCAGTAACAGGTGCCGGTTTAACTATCATTTCTGAAATGTTGCTGAAAACCGTTTGATCTGATTTCACTCACTTATCAAGTGGAAGTGTAACACTGTTTAAGTGCATGGTCTAAGTAGCTGGACTCTGCACTGGGGAGTTACTGTAGTGGGATGGGGACATTTTGTGGTTGTTGTTTTAGCCTTCCAGGTAAAGTAACCTCCAACACTTTTGCTCCTTGTGTGTGTGCGAGAGAGGAATAAGACTTGTCTACCTGGGGAAGCTTTTGCAAAAGAAACTAGGGTGTGAATTTAAAACTCAACAGTTATTCCACACTCATTAGATCACATTAAACTCAAACATCTAAACTCAAAGGTCATGCGTACACTACAAAATTAAATTACTGCTGCTTCTGCGTGTCTACACTTTGCTCCTTGTGTTGGCAGTGCTCGTCCTCGCCAGGAGCCCTTGTATCAATTGTACTGTCAGTGTGGGGCATTGTGGGATGGCACCGGAAAGCCAGTAACAGTAGATGTAAGCCGTGCAATACCTACGCTGACAGTACTATGTCAACCTAACTACGTCAACCGTGGCTCTGCACTGCTCTTGGAGGAGGAGTTATTAAGTTGGCATAGCGGGACAGTTATGTTGGTGGGAGCAAAATTTAAGTATAGACACTTCCATAGTTAGGTTGACGTAAGTTGCCTTGCGTCGACCTAACTGTAGTGTGGACCAGACCTTACACTGCACTGAGTGCTGTTGTGTGGTTTAGTTTAATCCCACTACCCAACAGGGTGGATTGATATAAATCAAAGTGATTTAAATCACCAAGCAGGAAACTTTACTTTAAATCATCAAATTGAATTATGTTTTGAATTTCTTCTTTTAACATAAGAGCGACCATACTGGGTCAGACCAAAGGTCCATCTAGCCCAGTATCCTGTCTTCTGACAGTGGCCAATGCCAGGTGCCCCAGAAGGAATGAACAGGTAACCATCAAGTGATCCATTCCCTGTCGCTCATTCCCGGCTTCTGGCAAACAGAGGCTAGGGACACCATCCCTGCCCATCCTGGCTTATAGCCATTGATGAACCTGTCCTCCATGAATTTATCTAGTTCTTTTTTGAACCTTGTTATGGTCTTGGCCTTCACAACATCCTTTGGCAAAGAGTTCCACAGATTGTCTGTGCATTGTGTGAAGAAATACTTTTGTTTGTTTTAAACCTGCTGCCTATTAATTTCATTTGGTGACCCCTGGTTCTTGTGTTGTGAGAAGGATTAAAAAGCACTTCCTTATTTACTTTTTCTACACCAGTCATGATTTATAGACCTCAATCATATCCCCCCCCTTAGTTGTTACTTTTCCAAGCTGAAAAGTGCCAGTGTTATTAATCTCTCCTCATATGGAAGCCATTCTATACCCCTAATCCTTTTTGTTGCCCTTTTCTGAACCCTTTCCAATTCCAAT